CGTGCCACGCGCAGATTTGACATGTCGGGCTGTGCTCCTTCAAAACCAGCGTGTAGTTGCAGATCCCAGTGTGTGAGTCGACTTTTTGCGGATGGGTCGACTTCGCACGAAGCTGGGCGTGAGCTTGGGGAGAGCCGACTTCACACAACCTGCGTCGACTTAACCCCAGCGTTAAGCCATGATTCGCCACGTGAATACAAATAGATCTCAAGCAGGCTGTCCTTGAATCAAGTGCAGTTGGGAGTTCATCAAAGTTACAGTATAGGCACTTTTTTTCCAGGAAACTTCATTTGAATTTTCTGCTGGGCATGGCTTGCAGACAAAGGATGTGACTTCACCCAATGGTTGAAGATGAAGGCCAAGATGAACTTCTCCCAAGGCCGACTAGCAGCTGCAGGTAGCGGTAGCGGTAGCGGTAGCGGTAGCGGTAGCGGTAGGGGTAGCGGTAGGGGTAGTGGTAGTGGTGGTAGTAGTCGTCGTCGTCGTAGTAGTAGTAGTAGCAGCAGCAGCAGCAGCAACAGCAGCAGCCACAGCAGCAGCAGCAGCAGCAGCAGCAGCAGCAGCAGCAGCCGGAGGGCCCCTGGTTCCACTGTTAGTATATAGGGTTCAGGGTTTGTTAATTTTTATCAAGGATTTGTGGGTGTACGGGTGTTTGGGATTTTTTAGGGCCTCTAGGGTTTGAGTTTAGGGTTGTAGGGTTTGTTTTTTTAGGGCAGAGGGTTTTTAGGTAGGTTTTTAGGGTTTGGGGTCTTTAGTCTCGGGGGTGTAAGGCTTTAGGGTTTTTAGAGTTTTTAGTTCTTTTTGTGTTTCGGGTTTTTAGGATTGTCAGCGTTCAGGTTTTTTCGGGTCTAGGGCTTTTAGGGTTCAGGGTGTTTAGGGTTGTGAGGGTTTAGGGTTTTTAGGGTTAATTGTTTTTGGAGCTTTTTGGGGTTCAGGCTTTCTGGGGAGTCTGTTCTAAGGCACATCCGGTTGTTGTGGTTGAGTTTTCTTCAGGGTTTAGGCTTGTGACGGCTTAGGGTTTTTAGCTTTTAGGATTTTTAAGGGTTGTTAGGGTTTAGGGTTTAGGGCTTTTAGGGTTCAGTTTTTGTTTTTTGACCTGTTTAGTTTTCAGGGTGTTAGGGGTTTAGGGTTTTGTGGGTTTAGGGTGTTTGGGGTTAAGGGTTTTTAGCGTTTTGTGTTTTTTGGTTGTGGTGGTCTTAGGATTTTCAGGGTTCAGGGTTTTTAGAGTTTAGTTTTTTTTTGTGTTTGTGGGGTTGTCAGGGTTAGGGCTCTGTGGGCTCAGGGTGCTTAGGGAGGCAGGGTTGGGAGTTTTGACATCGGCAGGGGTAGGCCACAAGCTCTGGCCGTAATAGAAGTAGTAGATGTAGTAGCAGCAGCAGTAGCAGTAGCGGTACAAGTACAGTAGCAGTTGGAGTAGTAGCGGTGGCAGTAATAGTATCAGTGGGAGTCGGAGTAGGAGTGGTAGTAGTAGCAGCAGCAGCAGTACTCGGACATAATAGTATTGGATATAGTAATAGGAATAGTAATTGGAAGAGCAATAGTAACTGTAATTGCACTAGCAATAGTAAGAGCAGTATTGATAGCAATAGTAGATAGTGGTTTTTGGCATGAATATTGGATTGGAGAGTAAATTTGCAAAGTTTCTCATCATTGTGAGTCGCTTCTAGCGTTCTCATGTTAAAGTAACACGATTTTCGTGGATATGTGGTTGGCGGGCACATTTGGAAGCTACTGTCAAGATTAGGGTTACCAACGGACCATTAAG